AAAATACAGTTTGCTCTGATAGATAACTGAGCGACCAGCTCTTAATCAGCGTGATAGGGTTGATTATACTTTGCAGTTCGAGTGTGGAGCTCTCGACAATATAAAAGCTGCAAAAGTGATCAATTAGTGATTCTAGCGCTTCGCATCTGAAGATATCAGCCTGCAGGACAGTGAGCAATATGGAAGGATTGGAAGGATTGCAAGCTATTGAAACTTCAAACAACATAACACCAACTGCCCCAGCATACAGAAATGAAGCAAACCTCCCATCACCTCAGAGCGCCTACATCTCTAGACTCTGGAATTACAGTAAAGCTCGCTCGATCCTTGGCTCAGTGACACTGACCGACCTTGCGTTCCTTTCGTCAATCTTTCATACTCTGCCCAAATCTTTACAGCAGCCGCTTTGGTGAACAAGAAAAGTACCTTGCACGGTCGATTAAGCAGGCTGTCTTCTGGATGCCTCGCGGAGACGAGCCATCTGTGCCACCGCGAGACCACTCTAAGATGTTGCACTGTTCGTGAGATGAAATTTGAAGATTTCTAGAGTCGGTGGGGGAAGGGCGTTGATGTCCCACAAGCAAGTTTTGGCGCTCGAAGTGGCTCTACGAGAACACGAAGAAGATCGGACAAGGTCCTGCTCCATGTTCCCGCCATTCCCCATCATTTACAGGAGCTAGCTGTACACAACGGTGATGACCCAGACTTACTGTTGACTAAAAGTTGTGAAAGAAAAAACTTTTAATAGTGAAACATCATGAGCTCAGAACCACCTTATGGAAATGCCTGTTTCAGCTATTCAATGAATTGTGGGTTGTTGATGTCCTTTCCTCTCAAGACAAGTCTGATACGGACTACCAACGTTAGAAAAATGGCCGGTATTGACAGGTCCGTGACAGAAACTCCGCTTTTCATGGCCCACTCTTGATCAAACAAATACGATAAAATGTAGACAAAAATCCTCCTGATAGAGCATAACTGTACAAGTGATGGCCCTGTATTTGGATGCCCACTTTTGTTGGGATAATGAAATCTGCTCATCGCTCGTTTGGACCACATAACATGAGGGACGAAAATAACTCTCAGCACTCAAACTAAAAAACCCAATTTCAATCCATCCACTTCTACACGATTAATTTAGGTTTCTGGAAAACTCATAAGAACAATCCCAAGCAAAACGCTCAACATCTGGGAAACTCTGCGAAGAATACCAGTCGTGTTTTCTCAACGCCTCCTCTCTGCTGACGTTCAGTTGTTCCATAATATCGCGAAATTCATATCACATAAAAAGACTGATACACACCAATATTGATGGAAATATCAAGAAATCACAACTTCAACTTACTGCGATGATAGCGCTTCTACTCTGAAAGTAAGATTTTGCATGAGGAAAGCGAAGCACTTCTATCTAAACCCTGCTCTCATCTACTTGGCTTGTGCGTCTAGTAATGCTTGTTTGTGATTCCAGATGTAAAACCGCTTTCCAAACATGCAATTACCGCTCGGGTTCCCTACCACAAAAAACTACTTCCCTCCTCACTGAAATAAAGACGCAAACAAAATGATCTCAACACTATGCACTTTACAATGAAATGACGTTTTAACAGTTTTCCACGCTCCAAACAATATTTTCATTGAAATGACCTGAATTTCAAGAATTGATCGGTGCTAATCTCGTATACTAATCAAGCACCCGGCGCGCTGGAGAATGATCTTCCATCGATCGATTCGCCCTTTTCCCGGCCCCGGCGGCCGGCCTTCATTCGCGGCACTGGCAATGGAACAACACTATTCCCCTCACACCATTGCCTTCTACATTCTGATCTCCTGTCCTCACAAAAGTAGCATAGTTATATAAAGAACGGCTGTCCCTCTTATCACAAAACAAGTTGCAGAAGTGGCCTTAAGATCTTTTTATTTCATAGACAACTGTCTAGTCTGTTAAAAAAACTTACCGGTTTCAAGCTACATTTAAACTCGAAAAATATACTTTCTATGAGAAGGTTCTCAGTATTTGGCACTGGTCCACCAAATATTCGCTTCCCTCCGTCTTGTACTAATTAACACCTACACAATCCAAGTTAGTCATTAAATGACCTTCGAGAAGGCGGGAAGTCGTAGGTCAGAAATAGACCACCCTGACCTTCACAATAACTCTCTACCTTAGGCATACTCTGTCCACCTCAAACCGAGGCCATATGATCCCGCATGCGTTAACTGTACATATTTTATTATTATTTACATTGATGCTGGTTAAAAACCCTTCTCCTATTGATCTTTCAATTTGCATGAAAATATCGTCATTTCAACGTGACCTGTGATATCATATGTATTATCTACCAAAAGTATCACATTATCGATCAATAATACCGAAAAGTAAGAGCGGATGACATTCTCAGAAATTAACTATTAACTAAACATTTGAAAATTATTGTAAAGTGTTTAAAGTTAACCTAAGAAACCATAGCTATGTACTGCACTCCAATCTGGGATCAATATTCGTTTCTAATAGGTATGCAGTTTAGTCACAATCGCGATTGTGATCTACGGTAACGATCGATCGTAGCAGTGGGTGGGCAAGAGGTCACCACTTTCGCCTCCGCCTACACGTGTTGCAACTCATACCAATGCGCAAATATTAATGGTAAATATTCTTCATGAAAAACCTACGAATTCATCATGGCCATTGATTTGTTTTACGTCTTTATTTCTTTGTATTTTCCGCACATCCCTGCGCCATTTGTTGAAAGAATACGTCCTAGAGAACAACATCGACCGTTTGCAACGGTTCAAGCGCACTATATTACTAGGCACAAAAAGTAAAAGATTGCTTCTTTAGTAATTCAGCAGGACCCTTACAAAGCGTATGTAATTTGTAACGCAGTTCTTGACATTCGGGAAATATTGGGGAAAAGTTTTAAGGGCTCAAAAACGTTTTTTTTTGCAGGTGAGACTCTCTTTTCATGTGTTTGTGAGCACTCATATCTTAAAACTCCTACTTTTCCACTCCTAAAAAATGAATGAGGAATTGAGAAACTCAATTTCCCTCCCCTCGCAACTTCATGCTTAGTATATCCCACACTGATTACGTTTACGTTAAGCTTTTGAGCTTACTGACCCAACGAAGTACTGCCTATTGGGCCTGGTCATAGACCTATTGTCACTAAATTATAATTCCTACATCGCTTAGCAAAAATAATGGTCTCTCATAAAACTTTACCAAAATCAGCTGTTTCCAAATACTCAAGCTATCTTGCAGCGTGTGCACCGAAACCATTTGAAATGTCGATTTTGCGGACTATTTTGACGATCGCGATTAGAGCAGAGTTCGTAGCGTCCGCAAACATTACCACAAAATGCTAAATTATTTTTTTAATGAAACTATAACTTCGCTTCAATTCACATCACTCTCTGCTCTTTGTTTTATTACCTTCTAGACCAGTCAATATTCAACCACTCATTCTGACTGCTCTGACTCATCTGTTGCTGAATACTAAATAACACGGTCGCAGCGCGGCC